TTCTCCATTAACTGTCACAACTAAAATTAAACCTGATTTCCTTTTCCTGAAGTTGGTAACCATTTCCATCGTTCTCTTAAAGTTTATTAGTCGTGCTTGCATTCAGGGCTGTTCAAGTCATTTTTTCATTTAATTGAAAAATTGTTTTCATTTCTCGGTACTAGTCTCATACAGCACAAAAGAGTCAGGACAGAGATACAAACGTTAGAAAGGTAAAAAACAATGAGTCAAAAAGCCATTCAGGCCCTTCTATCGCAGTTGGTGATTAGCATCTAATTGATCTGAGGATCCCATTCAGCTTCTTCTTGAAACAAACCAGGATATCAGCTTCTATGACATAGCTGGTTACTTTGTTCCATATTCCCACAAAAAATAGGTGAGGTGTACTCTAAATATACAGTGGGTTAGGCTGAGCATTTGCAGGTAGGGTGCTGAAATGGCTTCCCTTCTCATTGGTCTCTAGAACCTGATCTGCTCTGAGTGTGGGGATGAGTTTATTCTGCAGAGCCAGCTGTCCATGCACCTGGAGGATCACCGCAAGGAGCTGACGGGCAACAAAGTCTACAGCTGCAAGCTCTGCAACAAGGAGTTCAAAATCTCCTCTCAGCTCAAGGAGCACATGAAGAGCCACTATAAGATGAGGTGGGATGCAGCTAAGTGTTGAGAAAAATACTAGAATACCAGAATTGTTTTGGATAGAGGAGCCCCTTGTAAAGCCCAAAAATCATACTGTTGAAATTTTTAGATTTCACACAACATACAGTGTTTCTACACAGCTTTTTGACATTGCTGCATTGCATTTCTCTGTGCCATGAGAAAGCTGTTCATTGGAGGAAATTATTTTTAAGGAAGAATGAAAAGATTATGTAATTTTATCAGTATGCAGTTGATCATAGCCTTATTTACTGAGGGGAGAGTTAGTTGAAGTCAACAATGCTTTTGGTGACCACAGGTATTATATGGAGTGACTGTTAAAATGAGTATCTCTACAGTATTTAAAGCAAATGTATGCATAAATCATTAATGCAGGTGCTGGCATTGCTAAGGTATATGAAGAAACTTTGATGAAACCAATTACTTTTTTCTGGGAAATCTGTATAAAAAAGTGGATGAAATAAGACCACAACTCCCATTAAAAGTCAAGATCAGCATATATATGACCCAAATATGATTGGATGATTTATTTTATTGTTAACTGATCAAAAGGATGACGAGTATATATTTGTTTGAATCTTCTGCTGCTATATTAGGAATGATCATTTATCACCAGGGCAGTGTTTTATTTATAAGATAAGATCAGATCACTTTCATGACCATATACAATTTCTTGTATTAGCAATTTGTCTTTTTCACGTACCCCAACTTGCTCTCCATGAGACACACAGACAGGGAGAGTAGCTTGGGGTCAGAGCCCAGTGTCTGCTATTTATATAGCGCCTTTGGAGCAGTTGGGGTTAAGGGCCTTTCTCATGGGCCCAAAGGAGTAGGATTCCTCTGCCGGCTGCAGGATATGAACAGGCAACCTTCCAGCCACAGGCGCAGATCCTTAGCCACAGTGCCACTGTACCGCCTCAAAGCCATTTTATGTTGCCGGTACTTTACTGTTAAAGAGACCCCCTTTATAGTAACTTAGTTACACATACTGCTCTTTTTGTAATTGGCATCATCGAAGGATCATCACTGGACACACGGGAAACTTAAAGTACTGGATCTCTTACTGCGTTAAGAGCTGTTCTGACTCCAGTCTAGTCTCTTCTAAACTTCGAACTGAGAGCAGCAGTACTGAGAGCTTCCTATGACTTTAGACAAAAAGTCAAGATCAATATTTGTTGCAAAGATGTATTGAGTGATGAGACACTGAAACCACTTAAGCAGCAACCTTGTAGTTGATAACTGACCGAGCTGATGTTAATGAAAACACAACAGAAACCGCTGACTGTGAAAATTAATGATCAGCTGCACAAATTAGGCAGAAAGCAGCAGAAGGCAGTGATGGATTGGGAAAGTCATGCTGTGCTCCTGTACTTGCAGATGGGGTAATGAGCATGACTTGTTGTAATCCACTGAAATTTAGAATTTTTTTTCTGCTTATTTTCTTTTTTCTTCCGAGTGCCTGGAACACATTTAGGAACTGTTGAGGTGAACCATGAAAATCAGAATTTTCTTTATCTTCTCATATAGTGGTGGTTTTCCGATTTTTGTCAGATTTGCTGGGTGCTGCCCTATCTAAAAGCATGTGCAGCACTGATCCAGCTATTTCCACCCCATGAGAACGTATTTAGATTTACATCAGTGGACCTTAAATACAGAAATAATTTTGTTCAATGATGAACTATTATTTTTCCCTGTTCCCTCATATGACACTATTGTTTAAATGACCCTTTTTAAGTTGTGCTGACAGGGGTGAGTAACTCATGCTTCACTCACAAGTCTATAAGTAGCCACGACACTACTCCACTGCACAACCTTTCAAATTTGCTTGCTTTCAGTTTGACTTTGAAAATTCAGCTGTGCCACAGGAGCTTACAACACTATTTTTCTTCATTAGGCCAATCATTGGGACATCAAGAAATTACAAGAGGAACATTGACAGGAGTGGCTTCACAAACAGGTGTCAGCACTGCGGGAAGACATTCAAAAAACCCAGCCAGCTGGTCCGTCACATCCGAATCCACACTGGTAAGGGCCTGTGGTGTGACCAAGCAAGCCTCGTCAGAGCCGACCTATAGGAATTGTGGATTTCTAAATAGGTTGATTCTAAAAAGAGCAACCATCAGATCCTACTTTATTGTCCTCAAACAGTGGAAGTGTGCCTTTGGCTTATTGAGACAACAAATGCAGAGTACATAAAACATCCAGTGGACTTTACAAGATGTACACTATCATTGCAACATAAATAACAATTCAGTACAGTACACAAAACATACTGTAAGATTCAAGTGTGACATGCTTATATATGTTGTCCATAAAGTGCTCTGAAGTGGCATTAGAGTTTAAAAGGGTAGTGACACTCAGAATAAATTACTTCTTAAAATTGTTCATATTGTAGCCTTTGGTACTCTAAGATGTCAACCAGATGGAAGATTTTCAAACTGAGATTGTAGTGGGTGTGAGGCGTGTCTTTCCCCCAAACACTCCTAGTATACCAGTGGTTTGGTTGCTTCTGTTTGCGACTCATAATTTTGCTGCCCATGTTTATAATTGGAGAGCCACACCTGCCACTGAGATTTCCAAAGTGAGGGGAAATGTTAAAAGATAGAGCTCTCCTTACCAGACTTGTGTAGGCCAACTCCAATAGGTGTTTGCTTATGAAAACGATCCTCAACCTTCTCAAGAGAAATAATCTCTGCATGTTTTTTTAAATTGATGTGTTATCAATGTATGGAACGGCATGGTGGTGCCATGCTTGGCATTGGTGCCCTAGATTAAATTCTGGGCCTGGGGTGCTATCTGTGTGGAGTTTTTATGTTCTCTCCCTGTTTGTGTGAGATTCCTTCAGGTGCTCAGGTGTCCTCCCACGGTCTAAAGACATAGTGACAGTTAATTGGCTTCTGGGGAAAAGGTCTCTTGTGTGATTGTCTGCGTATCTGTGCCCTGCAATAGACGGGCATCCCATCCAGGGTGTATCCTGCCTTGTACCCATTGCTTTCTGGGATAGGCTCCAACTCCCTTATGACTCAAATAGACCCAGATACTTAAAACAAGATATAGTCTTCACAAGCTGATCATTAAAGTAATCACAACAGATACATTCTTAATGTTGTTTCTTTTTTTCTTTAAAAAACTATTTTAAGTTTGTGTATTTTACAGCATTATTATTACTATTATTTAGATTTGATTAATTTTACCTCAGGGATACCTGCAATAGAAGCGATTTGTGTTGCTAGCACTGACCACCAGAGGGCTCTCTTGTTGTTTGCCTGAAACTAAATGATCATCATCATCTGAAGGCTGTGCTTTTAAGTTTTTATTTAATGATGATCTCTCTATTTCATTGCCAGTGGAGATTAAAAGGTCAACTGGCTACCCAGTAAAAATAATTTTGCTGTACTTTCAAGTAACTATTTCAGTTTGTTTCTGTTTTTTTGCTAACACCACATACCCTTGAATGAAAGTGACATCTGAGCAAATAGGAGTGTTTACTGATGATTTCAGCCCAGTGTGAAAGGAAGAACCAGTGTTAAAGGGGAACTGCAATGCTATTTTTATATTTCCGGGTTAGAAAGAATCGGCATTGATGAGGGCATTTCAATCCACAATAACAGTAAACTGTACACAGTAACTTGTAAAACCTCCAATTTATCCAAAATAGATAAAATCTCCAGGTATGCACAGCTCCATGTTCTGTGATTCAGAATGAGGCAACAAAACCTCTGGTAACAAGAAGTTGCCCTATTGCATTGTTAACAAGAAGAGTTCTGAATCTGATTTAATCAAATAGAAATATTGCTCTCGGCTTTTAGAGGGTTTTGCTGATAAATGGAACTTATACTTTATCTCTGCAGTTATGTTGGAATCTTTCTACGGTGAAATACAGTATCTGTTGCACAACCCATAATTATTTTGCTCGTACATCACATTACATTACAGTGTTATTACAGTGACTAGCGCGCAGGAAGGGCAGCATCACATCACAATTCGTTACACATCACAACAATGTGTTGCTATCGCCCACCGCAAAAACCAGGGGTCTACAACAATACTTAGGGTACTTTCACAAAGTTCATGATTTTGCGCTGATTTCGAAATTTGTAATTTTGTTCTATACAGTCAATTAATTTATTTTGTTACTGAGATTTAATAACCGGTCTGTATGAGAAATCTGGGACTGCAGTTTTAAGAGTGAATTAAAAAAAAGCTTGTTTTACGCAGTTGTGTTTGAATTAAAGAGACTGCAGCAGACCTTGGTACAAAACCAGTTTAACTTTAAATTCACACTACTGCATTTTGCCACTGAGGTATTTTTTTACATTTTTTGAAATTATTTTACTAAAATAAAAATAAAAACACATGACCTGTATCAAGGACATCCTACTCTCAAGATCCAGGATTTTATTTTTTTGTAATGGGAAAATGGGCCATTCTGTTATTCAGCAATCAAGCCAGCACTGAAAGTTCAGTAAGCATTAACAGTGTGAACCAAACACAACCTGTGTAGCTATAGACTTTTACTCTCTCTCCCAGGAACGCAAATGAAATTGCACAGTCACGTAGGTCATTGATTTGTTCTCTGTTGTCCTGCTTAAAGGAAATTAGCAAACATTTTTAATTTTTAAAACCCAGAGTTCCTAAAACGGATAGTTAATCTGTAAAATGTTTATTTTATTTTGAGGCGTTAATCCTTGTCTGTGTGTGTTGTTTATCTGCAGGTGAACGGCCTTACAAATGTACACACTGTGGGAAGGCATTTAACCAGAAGGTGGTGCTGCAGACTCACATGGTCAGACACACGGGAGAGAAGCCTCACTTCTGCATGTTTTGCCCAGCATCCTTCTCACAAAAGGGCAACCTGCATTCACATATACAAAGGGTCCATTCAGAGGTAGGTCTATCCTCCTCCATCTCTTACTCAAAGATCTTTCCAGTGTTTAATTTACTGCACCCTGCCTGTCCATCATGTTTATTTAAAATCTGTTGTTTTTTTACTGCACCCTAGAGACAAAGTCTGTACCTTTGTCCATAGTCACCTAACAGTGACTGTATCGGTGACCTATAATAGAATTACACTAAGATAAAACTTGATGGATAAATTCTGGTAGAAATCAGTGTTGTCTATTAAGTAACTTAAAAAGGTAAAAGTGTTTGAAAACAACTTAAAGAGTGATATAGTAAGTTCAGACTCATTGGTCAATATGTGACTGTCCTTAGAACATATTATTATATCTGTTTATCCATAATTTGAATATTTGAGTTTGACTTCCTTTTGAATATGCTTCCTGATTGTAAAGCGTGTAGTTTTATGGTTTGTTGAAATAAGATTACATTCCCAGAAGGCACAAATGAAACCTTTTGGGTAAACAGAGCTTGACATTAGGAGTGAGGCTTTGGCACTGCAGGTTGGCTGTGGTTGGAGATGTGAAGTCATTGAGTAGCTATTGCTCCTGAATTTAAAACTTTATATGCATAAATAAACTTGGGCATTTTTGCAATTGTTTAATTTCATTTTTATGCATTCAGAACCCTTTGTACTGATATTGGAATGATTGGCTTTCATTGCCTGCTTGGCTGTGGGCATTGTATTGTATGTATTGTATGCATAAAACAGAGACGTTTGTCATTAAACTCTTTAGATTGAAACTCACAAAGGATGTGTTTTCATATCCTGTACAAACACGATGCACAGATTCCACAAATAATAAAAAATGTACTAAACAACACATCAGGATCTTGGTAAGGTTTTGGTTTCCAGAAGACAAGAAAAGCCCTTAGGCAGTGTTTTAGTGAACAACACCAGTCTTAAAAAAAAACTTAAAAGGATGCAACTTGGGAGTGCAGAAACACTTGGATGGCTGCTTGGTTTTTCCGTTAGGCAGAAAACCTTTGCATTCCTCTGTGTTTCACATGGTCGAGTGGGGAGTTGTGTCAGCATGGGTTGGCTGCAAATAGGAGTGTTTATTTACTGATGAGTTTGAAAGAAAAACAGACAGGAGAAACGCAATGTTTCAGCGGTGGAGTCTCCTTCAACTGACACATTGTCTCTCCTTTCTGTTTTTCAGCATGGAATTAACCTTTATTTGTTCCTTTGTGGTTTACATGCCTCGGCAACAAAGGATACTGGGATTCAACTCGGGGTGTAGAGTGAACTCTCAATGGGCTGGGTAACTGATGAACAGACCTACTGTATAGCAAAGCCAGAGAGCGCTGAAACCCAGCATCCTGACAGTTGAACTTCTCACTCTCTCAGTATATTGTCTATACAAAAGAAAAGAAAACAAAATGCACATTTATTCAAAACTCATTAGATGGCAGTAGGATTGGTTCTGCTCTCTTCCCACTCAAGCTGTCGCTAAGCGTCTTGGGTAATTAAAGATACAAGATTTTCTTTTCATTCTTCCATTGTTTGGACTTCCTGTTCAAGCAGGCCACATGTTTAATAACTCCTACAGTGAGGACCTAATGGAATCGTGCTAAATATGTCCCCTGTTCCATGATGAAAGTACATTTCCTATTGTGAGCAATGGTCTCCTCTGTAAAAAGGCTTATAATGTGGTTTTCTAGTAAAAAGCCACTATAAACAGCCTGGAGTGGTGCTTTGTTATAAATAGTCCTCTCCTAAGTAATGTGCAATATTCTTCAGCCGTCTTTTGAAGAATGACACACTTGTAGTCCACCCTCACTCCCCCGTAATGATTCATAATTTAAAAGCAATGACAAAAGGCAGTGGCACAGCATGAGTTTTTTTTTCAAATATAACCCAGCCTGGGAGGTTGACCATGAAAGTAGAGTTTGTGGCCCCCACCAAAATATAAGAATTGCACATCTGTGAATAGTTTGGATCTACCTCTTGTGTCAGAACGTATATTACAATAATACTTGGAGTAGTATTAATAACACATCTAATGAAATAAGGGTAATAGTTATCACTTCTATTATTAATGTCTTTTGAGTCAAGAAGTAAGTCATGCAGTTTGTCAAAGCTGTGTGCTGGAGATCGAGGATGAAACAGGCATCCTGAGAATGCGGTAATTCAGGAGCACCTCAGACCCTGGTGGATGTGGAATCAATGCCCACTCTTAAGTCATTTTTGTACTTCTTAATCATTGATAATTGAGCCAGATGGCAAGGAGGGGCAGTGGTTAGCATTGCGGGCTTGCATTGCTGGGGCCCTGGTTTAAATTAATGTGTCGCTATCTGCGTGGTGTCTGTGTGCTCTCCCCATGTTCGTGTGGGTTTCCTCCAGGTTTTTCCTCCTACAGTTTCAAAAACGTATGGGTAGGTCAATTGGCTTCTGAGAAAATTGCCCTGGTGTGAGTGTGTTCGTGTCTTTGTGTGCCCTGCGATCCTATTCAGGGTGTACCCATTGATTGCAAGGATAGGCTCCAACTCCCCTGCAACCCTGATTTGGATAAAATAGTTAGAAAATGGATAACTGAAAATTGAGTCTCACAATGAGAAACAGCAAACAAACGACTGAGGCTCTTAACACTGGTAAGGAGTGGATATGAGGAGATAATATATAATATTATTACAAGAGATAATATTTATAGTTTTATGATATCATATTCAGTAGCTATAACTCGTGTTCTGTGTTTCCTGTTTACAGTGACGTATTTACAACTCTGTTTACTTTTCTTTCTGTATTTTATTCAAACTGTCCTGAGACAAATAATTTATCATTTTAAATTTGTGTACAATACAAAATTATTTTCTTTTTTGTACTGTATACCGCAGTTCAGCCTTCACTGAAACACACACATATTCCCGTGTCAAAATTGTGCAGACTGGCACCATCCATAGGAGCGGCCCAAACTCACCAATGGTATAGGCACAGTCCAGCACATGGTGTTATTTCTGAGACTATCAGAGAAAATCAGAAAATCAGAGGCAAACTACAGTATGCTTTTATGCATCAGGAAAAAAGCCAAGGAAATATTTCTCCCCCAGCATTAGTACTTCTGAATCCCTATAAGTAGCGGTAAAAACACTACCTCATCCCTCTGTGAAGGAGTGGATGCTGCCATAGTTAATGGAGCTATGTGCTCTTTCTGACGCCTTCTGCCACTCTGCTTCACACAAGCTGGGCGAAGAGACTGTCAGAGATGAAAGCTCTGGATTGGACCCTGACCTTTCAGGCTGCTGTAACATACCCTTTACAAGCACTCTTTCCCCTTGCAAAGAGAGAACATTAGTTTGTGACAGGGAGAGATGTTTCTTAAAACAACCCTGCTTCCAGAGATCCTTTGAAGCGCAAAGTGCATCTGACTCTCAACAGCAAAGTGCTCTGCTTGATCTACAAATGCAAATGCACAGACACACTCCTTTGCATGTGTAGATATACACTGGGACCTGCTCATATCTACACAAAAAAATCAATTTGCTGTCAGACATTCATGCACACACTCCCTTACACAGACAGATGTATACTGACGGATAGACATAATAACAATAACAAATAAAAATAAACATAAAGAAGTTGAATTAAGAAGTGGAATGTGACTGCTGTGGTAGTTGTTGGCTCTTCTCCTGCCAAAGAACATATATCTGCAATAGTTGATGAAAATAAAGTAAAACAAGACTTTGGGTGGTATCCATATTTTTCATTTCAGAACAGGTATATACTGTATAAAAATGAATTTTCAAAAGGTTTTTCTTTCTCTGGGTATTGCTGTTGATGTGTGTTTTTCCTCACTAATAAGGTCAGTATTTCTGACACAGGTAAGAGCCCTAACACAATGGTGAGACTGGGAGTGATGACAGACTAAGAGACTAATTGCTTAATGTCTTCACCTCTTTTATTCCTTTTTCAGTCCAAGGGAGTTCCCTTGTTTCCTTGTATGGACTGCAGCTGCGTGTTCAAGAAACTGGGTAGTCTGAACGCACACATCAGCAAGATGCACATCTCTATCATAGAGACTTCCCAGCAAGCTCAGGTGAGACGGCAGCCACAATCCTGTTCATCGTATATGTTTTATATGCCAACATTAATGTAGTGCCAGGGTTTTACGGGAGCTGTTTTATGTAGAGAAAAAGGCAAACACACATTGTAATAACAGCCAAAGCCAATGGTCTTTCCAGGCAATTGCTCAGAGGTGTATATAATATACAGTATATACATTACTCACACTGGGAAGTCATGGAGCTACAAGATTTCATTGGATGCAAAATCAAGAAAAAGTATTTCCGAATCAACAGTGAAACACTTATATTGAGGGTATAGCTCATTACAGCAGTGCTGGTTCCTTGGCTGAAATGTTCTTATTTAAGGGGGCATCAAAAACTATTTGTGTCTGACATTTGGGAAAGATAAAGAATGAAATATTCAAATATTTGATTCAGAAAAAATGTAGCTTTTTCCTTGACCCCTAATACACCCCATCAGAAATCAAAGTTTCTCTATTATTGATCTGATTTTAGGTAGCAGGTTTTCTACTGTCTTTTCCTTACGGGGACCTCATTCCCTCCTATCAAACAGTGGGAGTTTTAGTGCTGCCTGTGGCAGGCATGTCTGAGTGTCTCAGTAGAAACTGAATGAAAACTACCTGGAGGACTGTGGTTACACAGGGGCGGCCAACAGAAGGCATTGGATGCAAAGTCTTTGAAAGGTTTGTGCTGGGTGGATTTGCAGTTGTCGGCTTCCTAGCAAATTGAAATGTTCCTCCTGAGAGAAGGTGCGGTAACCTTTTAAATAGGACAGATGATGTGGTTCAGTGAGACAGGTTAGGTATAATCTGCACCTGCAAACACTGGGAGCTTTTCAGTGTTTTCTTAGAGAGTGTTGGTGTCCTCCAGAATCAGGGAGACCAGTTTACCAATGAGAATAGCAAGTCTTAACTACTGCAAGAAATATAGCTGTGTTTTGGGATTAGTAAAAAACTCTTGAGTTTTCTGAGTGTTTAGGGAAATGGAAGGAGAAACGTCTGGACAGAGGGGTGCTACTATAATTTGGCTGTATGGAGTGGGAGGTGAAAATCTTGGAAGCTCTCTCTTGTGAGCGAGGATGTTCCATCAGGTCCCTGTAGTTCAAGTGAATTGTGGGAGAGTCTCTTGGATTTTATTCCCTGCTAGTAGAGGAAGATTTTAGTTTTTAATATACGAAAACATCACGTTTCCTTTTCAGAAATGGATTGAATAAGGCTGCTGCAGCGAAAAAGCACAGCTCTCTTATAGTATTGTGATTGTATACAGTCAGTTTTCAAAACTAAGATAGGCATACTGTACATACTGTACAGTCTGTCATTTCTTGAACATGTCAGTGTAAGGGACTGTTGTTCAGGGATACACAGATCTGGCTCCTGGAATGAAAGGATGAGAGACGTTGAAGTGTAATGGTGAGCTTAGTGTTCTACAGATAGAGGTCATGCCTGTGTTGCCACCACTCAAGGTATAATAGAACACATATTACCTAAAAGTTTTTTAAAGGTTGTTGTAGCAAGATCCTATGCAGCGTAGAGTATAGAGACAGGGCTGTCCATCTGAGCAAATCTGATTACAACATGAACTTATGAGCTTACAACAATGGGCTTTCATTATATCCAGTGTTGTTCATCTGTATACAGACCTATGATTTACATGGACATTGAGTTTTAATAAGATGCATTTTTATTAGGGTATTCAAAATAGAGTGACATACAGAAAAAATAATTATAGCTGAAAGCAAGGCTGCATTTTTCATTTAAGAAGGGAATTCTTTTGCTCAGCCATGTTGTGTTTGGATACATAAACTCAGTAAATACTTTGCATCCAGCAACTAAACTGTTCAACCCATCCCGTGACATGAGGTATATTTGAACAGTCGCTCTCATCCCCAAGCTGAAACATTAGCAGAGTTCTGCCTGGGGCAGGCTGTTTCTTCAAAGCCATGGACACAGCTTTGCTTTTGTGGCATCTGATGCCTTTCTGTAGACCCTTCTAGCATCTTAACAAATAAGACCCAATCCTGTTGGGCAGAAGACCATAATGCATGTAGTGCCTTTATTCTGAACACAGTCAAACACGTTTAATGCGGCTTCTGTTTCTGTCCGTTGCTGCTGTCCGCCACCACAGTTAAAACGCCTTCACTTAAAGATGGAATGAAGGTGGCAGGCTGTCCTTTGTTCCCCGTCAGCCATTATTCTTATTAATAAACCCTATGAAGAACATCACAGTCTCGTTGGGCGTGGAGCTGGCTGGAGAGGTGCTGGAGCCTAGTTCTTGTGGTGACGTCAGAGGGAGAGCTGCGCCTTTCACTTGCGCGCAAGCTCCTGACGAGTGTTCCCGTCTCCCCGTCTCCCCCTACAGCAGCAGCACGCAGGAGCAGTGACGGGGCCCCCTGGCCCCGGAGTGGAGGGCACAGAGGGCGTGACCGATGTCATCCAGCAGCTGCTGGAGCTGTCCGAGCAGGTGACCGGGGAGAACAGCCAGGCGCAGCCCCCTGTGCAGAGCATCAGCATGGACCAAGGCATCAACCAAGACATCTTACAGGTAGGCCAGGCCACCTTCCACATCCCCTGTCACCGACAAGGATGGCGCCCTAGGTTCTCAATTTAGTCTGCCGCTAGGTAAGAGTGCTCTTTTGCTGTCAGTTCTGGCTCTGCAGACCAAATTGTTCAACCTGTGGTACCAGCCAGCTGCTGAAATGCACAGGCACTCAGCAAATCAAGAAAATAGCCCCTTAAAAAAATTCTCTAAAATTCTAATTTTACAAAAAAAAGTTCACAACTGAAAAATCCTTTAAACCATAAATCATTATTCTCAAGGCCATTAATTAAATCTGTGGAAGAAGAAGCTAGGATGACATTCACAAAAGAGAGTTTTGTCTTGGACTACATTGCTTGTTTTTAAGTAATTCCCTTCTAAAAGAGATTATTCTGAAGTAGTTACGAATACAAAAGGAGTACTTTTGTAGGAATAATTAACTTTTTTTGTTCGTTGGTGTGACGGTATGAAATGTTAAATGCTTACAAGATTTGATGGCATTAGTTATGAGAAGTGAATTAACAAAGGATCTACAGTCTGTAAGGTTTTTGTGTTAAAACATTTTAGCAAAGAAGCAAAAGTATGTGCAGAATTTCATGTAGTTACTTTATATGAGAAACACAACCGTGCCAAATTCGATCATATATAGACTTATACAGAGTCAGAGTCTAAGTCTACAGTCCTCGATATTTTCTTAAAACTCTTACAACTTCAAGGCACTTTTCTGTCCGAAGCAAAAAGTAGAGGTAGATAAATCCTTACAAATGAACTCTGCATGCCTTTCTTTACTGGGAACTTGAGCAATCCCCTCGTCAGCATTCCACCTGCTTGAGAGTTTGAAATGCTTTCCTCCGGATGTTCACATCATTGTCAGAAATGGCAAAGTCCTGATCTCTTTCAGAGTATAGGAACCTTTAGAATTCAAAAAGTACAAATTAGTAGTAGACTTCAGAAAAATCCAATCGTTTGCCTGCCAGTTTGATTGCCTGGGCATGTTACTGCTCAAGAATAATCTGCCTGTGAGGCTGTCATTGACAGCATAGTAAAAGCCTATTTTAACTTTGCAGAACGATCAGCCATGTTTTTTTGAGGGTATTACAAGGAAAAAGTGATACTCTGAAATTGCCCCTTAGGAAAAGATTTCAAATCTATCAAGCTCTGATCTGGGAACAGGGCTTTTGTTAATCTTTTCCCACATGTACTCATGAATAAACTTTTCCTTTTTTTATTTTTTTGCCTACAACCAGAGAAGCTTTTTGCTTATTGCCGAGAAGCTTATTCAGACAAAAGGGAAATGAACTGGAATTTAAAAAAATGTATGAAATCACATTTTCTGTAATTCGATTGGATTTACAGGCGTGAAACAATGAAGTCTGAAACATGTTTTTTGCATTTTTTTCAAGAACGTGGAAAGTTTTTAAAATTAATTTCTAAATATCATTGAAGTGTAAGATTAAAAAGTTTTTTGCTTCCCATGTACATTTGTTGCAAGGGATTATCTTCCGTAAGTACAAGATGTTGAAAAGTGTTGTTTTTTAAACACAGATGAGTTTTACACAGTAAAGTATAAACTGCAGGTGACTATGGATTTGTGATATTGTCTTGCATAACATTTAAAGTGGAGAAATAAAATCTCTCCAGAGAAAGTAATCTAAGACACAGCCTACAGTGTGTTCCTGCCTTTATTCAGTGGTAATTTCTTGCCGATATAGCTTGACGACATTATCAGGCTCACTGGATCTTCAGCACACACATTAAAACAGCAAGAAAATCCTGTCTGTCAGTGCATTTATGTTGCCATTTAGGGTCTGGATTAACTTGCCAGCTTCACTGTGTCCCTTGGAGCTTAGCTGACTAGATATGAAGTCCCTGGAAAATGCTAGAAATCAAGATTGTGTATATGCTTAATGTGAAAGATGTAACTGTCAAAGACAGCCCCTGGTGAGAAACATCAGCACAGAAAGCCAGTATCAATTTTTTCTTTTTCTTTCCCAATCCACTTTTGCTGCTTTCTTTTCTTTGTTTTCTTGAGATTATCTGATGAAACACACCTTTTTATCTTTGCATTGGAGATAATATAAATAATTTTAGCTGTTGACTTTCCACAGAAATAGAGGAGTGGCATGTGACCTGAAAGTTAAATACAAACACACTGTGTTTTGATGCAAAAAATGACTTGATAGTCAAGAAACTGAAACGTCATGCTATTCAGAAATTGTTTGGTCAAAAAAGGCGATAGCAATATAAAATTACTATATTTAAGGGCAATAGTGGAAAATAATGTAGGAGATGCCAAGTTCCAAAGATTGTTTAGCTGAAAGTCTCTGTTATTTCTTTTGAAACCAAGTTGGTGAGACATAACAAAATCTGTCATGATACCTTTGTATTAAAAGGCCGTCGTGCTTCAGCTACACTTACCTCTTCATACTACTGTATATGTGTGTGCGTATCAGGGTAATGCTTTTGTACACATGTACTGTAGCCTTATGAACAATGCACAAAGCCAAAATGGGATGTGTTAATGTTCCGAAAGGTTAATCCGAACTTTGTCCATTCTTATAAAAAAACAGATGCCTCTGCATACCTTTTGCTAAACTCGGATGACACTCTCTGCACTGCTGTACATTTCTGTAGTTGTTCCACTGTTCGTTGGTCTGAGAGATTAATTGGTGCAGAAGGTCAGAGGTGATGCCTGCAGGTACCTTCTTCGTGACAGACTTGTTTAATTAAGTATCGTTGCCTTATGTAGCTTGTTTTGAGCAGTAATTAATACCACAGATGCATTATCAAACATTGCAGTGTGACTGTTTAGTATCACTACTGTACTTATAAGATATATTCCTTTAAATATGATTTTTATCTAGAAGGATCCAAAACTGGGTTACAGATACCACCAAAATGTGGAGAAAGAGACAAAACACAAACTGAACCAGGGATGTACTGTAGTTTAGTTAGTTACACTTGAGTCAGGTAAGTAGGGTTTGTACCTCATTTTTTATGATCAATGCCATTGCATCACATCTTAATAACACCACCCATTACAACAGAGTAATTGTTGTCATTCTGGGGCATTTGTTTGCATTCCCTGGGTCACCTCCGGGTCCACCAATCTCAAACCTCCCAATGCCAGCCTCGTTTTTCTTTCTGTCCTGATAACTGACACCACCTGCTTTTGAATAAGATTTGGGTTATGAGATGTGGTTGGACCAGTCTTCAAGATGGAGTGATTTACATATAAGAAGGGAAAGGCCCTATACTCATCCACCACTGAAATATAGCAGCCATTCTGCACCAACAGCCTCACTACACAGCAGCTGAAGTTGATTCACCCATTGATTGTTAACATCTGGAGTGGAATTCAGTCAGGGCACCCTTCCTCTGGTTAACAGGACAATAGTTTAGCCTCCTTCAGCACAGTGTGTCTCGTTACCATACGTGGTCATTGGATATTCTGCTTTAGAGGGAAAAGCGGTTTGGTGTTCCTTGAGGTCTTGTGTCCCACTAATGAACAGGCCCAGTCTTTCTTCTTAGATAAGATGAGATCAGGTTAGAAGGTACTAACACTGCTGTCAAGAGATAATGGGCTGCCAGTATATCAAGAATCGGATTCAGACCCAGGCTTCCAGGAGAGACTGCAGCTAATCTTTGTTGGCCTACCTAGGCATTAAATTGACATTAGTCATCTTTTATCTGTCATTGATCATGCATGGCAGAACATTTTTGTTATTGAAATAAACTCTGCATAAGAAGAAAGAAAAAACTGAATGTCAAATCTGGGTTCAGACCCTTTTGGCAGAATTCTCAGACTGCTGCACAAGATTAAGTCTTTTGAATGTCATTTTCCAGATTTGTCCTATTAATTATTTGATTCATCATAGTTATTTTCTTTTGTGCATGTATGTATGGAAAGTTTCAGAAGTCAGACTTACAGATCGTGAAAATCTTTGTAAGAGATATAATGGAATGCGTTGTTGTCTAGACAGAAGACTGGACTCTGTAGTTCAAAATAAAAATATAATAGCTATGAAAATGAAATGCTGTGGATAAAGGATGCTTTTCAGACATACTGTAGGTAGAAATTACTTTGAGCAAATGATAGTGGTCCAGAAATCTTGCTGCTTCGCAGTGGCAGTTTCAGTGTGAGGTGTAGAAAAGTAATAGAGATCAGTAAAATTCCTGACTCTCTGGTATTAAAGCTGTGCCTGCAGATTCAGTAAACTGCTGGCATGTTTCAAAAGTCAACAGGGTGCGGAATGTACATGGTGCTTTTGGCATTTTCAAAATAAATAAGTCTGAAAGAAAAATCCTGCATGTGCCAGTTATATCCCAGGACCTCCCATAACATAAGGACAAAGGCAAAGGAGCACAAACAAATTCTGGTTTTCTGTTCTCTTAAAGCTGTTAACATACTGGGAAATCCTGGGCAGGAATGGAGAGTGGTTTAGGTAAAATATTCATCAATTGTCTCTCACAAAGAAGGAGAAATGATACAAAATAACACCCTAGGACTCCAACAGGGAAACTGCACATTGAAAAGATGTTCCTTCATCTAGTGATTATTCCACTCATTTTTTGTATCAGTTTTCACATCAGTATGCATTTTTTTTAATTCCTGCATTTAGAACAGAAATTCTCAGTCAGCTGATCTAATAGGACAGGGTCAGAATATCCTCAGTTGTGTTCCATGTTTTGTATATTTAAAAAGTAAATCTTTTCAGTATTTCTATTTATTTTATGCCCAAACATATCAAATGCCAGGTGAGCTGTCCGTGACACATTGCAGTATAGACATATCTGTAGTTAAAAAGATTCATTTCTATCCTTTGGCAGAAAATTAAAAGAATTGTTAATGAATTATAAGTAATTTTCCTTGACAATAGGTTTCAGATGTTTTAAGCATCAATATAAAATAATCCAGTAGCTTTGAAAATAGGATCATTTGTTGCATTTTGTATACATTTCTATGGCTTATTGTTTGCTGTCATATGACATTACATATGTAAAGTTGTTATTGTTTTTACGTCAATTAGTAGAATAGCCTTAATCTAAATGGGTTGATCTGTGTTACATGTGTTCTAAACTTGAAATGTTCTCACAAAGTCAGCCCAGTGAATTAATTTATGGACATCAGCTAAACAAGAACAAGTGAATTTAGGAGAGAGAGAGAGCAGGAAACACTTTACACAAAGAGTGCGGAGTGTCTGGAATGATTGGCCGAGTCATGTTGCTAAAGGAAAACAGCAGAATATGATCTTAAGTTCCTGAAAGTTTCTAACAACCAAGCGATGGGCTGAATGGCCTCTTCTTATTAATAATCTTATGTTCCTGTGCTTCACATTTACGATTCATGCAGCATTCCAAAACTTTATCTGTTAAAAAGATGATATATTGCTTGTCTTTAGGCTTGCATGGCTAATACAGTAAGATGATAAACAGTACTGCACAGTCAAGAAAAAAGTGCACTGGTTTTATTTCAGGTTGCTCTAACTTAAAGAAAAGCAAAACTATTTTGACAATAAGTAATGTACTTGTTTTTTTCAGATAGAAATTCAAAATTGCAAATCTCAATTTAATCTTCTAACATCAGTCCAGACCACTTTTAATTTATTGCGGAACCTATAATATTTGTCCTGTTGTCTTTGACTGGGGAGATCGGGGTCTCTGTGGTACACAAAGAGAAAGAGAGGCTGCCTGGCTGCTTGATTGTACCAGAGACAGAAGACAGAAGCTGTGTGTAAGCAGACAGGCTGTGGCGCTCCACACCTTGACACCTGAAGGAAGACACTGTGGAGCGGACTTGCAAAAAGCATAAAACTGCGGTTTGGGAAGAGAAACTGAGCAGTAATGACTGGCAATGTGGTTAAGCCACCCAGGTTAGATTGGGGTCCAAAGACTCACCGACTGCACTTAATTAAAACCACTGCCTGTGGTCCATGTCTAACACCAAAATACACCCCGGTCAGAGTCCAGCTGCGACGACCAGCATCCTCGACACTCACACTGGCTTAATACTAGATTCTTGGAATTTCTTTCATTTTTGTGGTGCACCTGCTAAAGGAAGCCTTTTGTAGGAAATTAAGGCTCATTTTAAGAAAAAATCGTCAGATGAAGACAAAGTTATAGTAAACATGACACATAAAGAGGAGAACGTTTTCCTCTGAAGTCTAAAACTACTTAACTGCTTAGGTGTAATGTAAATTTTTGTTCTAAAGAAGGCAAGGTGCTAAAGGCTGTTAAACGATCTCCTCTCTATATGCAGACAGTGGTAAGCATGGGTGGATCTACACCAGTGGATGTAATATTTCAGACCTCTCAATCTCATCATACAGTTCTTGCTGTTCTGCTTTGTATAAAACTTTGTACCTAAAACTCATTCAAGCTCACTGGCATGGAATTGGGGTCCTGAAGTGGTGTCTTTGCAAAGGTTTTGAGTATTATCCATTTCTCCACTGTCAAAAGCGGCTTATTCCTGGTGAGGGCTGCAGCAACCCAGAGCCCATCCCAGAGCATATAGAGCTCTATATGGATGGGATGCCAATGCTCTGGGTGGGATGCCAGTTCACTGCAGGGCACACACAGCCTTACCTGTACACAACCGTTACAGTACTTAAACTACACCTGTACTCTGTAGTACTGTCATAATGAATAACCCCACAGTTAGCACATGGCTCAGCCATTTTTGTGGGGAGAGCAGTGCTACAAAAGGGAAGCAGATCACGCTAACATGAAGCTTTTAGAGTAAAGAGAGCGCCGTACTTGATTTGTTTGAGAGCGTGTCTCTTCTTGCGTTGCTCTGCATGCCTTTTTTTATTGTTTTCCATGATTTCCGTGAAACTGATTATAATCAAAGAATACCATGAGTACCTGCCATAGCCACCAGTATTTCCCAGTGTGGGAAAAACAGCAATTTGGGTGGCACAGTAGCACAGTGGTTTGCACTAGTGCCTTGCAGTGCTGGGACTCTAGGTTCAGATCTGACCCTGAGTTGCTGTCTGCATGGAGTTTGTATGTACTTCCTGTGTAAACGTGGGTTTCCTCCAGGTGCTGTGGTTTCCTCCCACACTCCAAAGACATAGTGGTAGGTTAATTGGCTTCTAGGAGAATTTGCCCTGCTGTGAATGTGTGCCTGTCTGTGATGGACTGGCATCCTATCCAGGGTGTATCCCATGTTGTACCGGTTGCCTGCCAAGACAGGTTCCAACTCTCGCGCAACCTTGAATTTGAAGCAGTTAGAAAATGAATGAATGAATGGATGGATTTTTTTTTTTAAATACCAAAACTGCAAATTTCGTAAATGCATTAAGAAATGGTAGGGTACCATTGCGTTAACCACTGTCTGTGAGACCTTTTTTCTCATACAAAAACAAACAGTATTAACAAAACAAACCCTGAACTGGATAAGGCAGTTAAAAAATGGGTGGATGGAAAAACAGAAATTCTGGTTCCGGCAAAGTCTTGCCTGAAATACTTTTTGGGAAATGCTCAGAAATCAGTGATGCAATTTAGAATAGCTGAAGGGGGTACGGTTTGCAGACTTCAGATTTGTTTTCCATTCCAAAGGGGTGAGGTGTGAGCACAGCTTTGCTGCTCTGTCTATGTTCCAGCAAGCCTTGGAGAACAGTGGCCTGAGTGCCATACCAGTGCAGACCCATACCCAGAGCACTGCTGTGGTAAGCAGAACCCAGGGAGCCCCGTGCCAGGCCCAGGAACCCATCTGCCCCCCTGCACCTGTCCAGCTCGACGCTACTAAGGAGCCCAGCCCAGACAAGGTTTTTCGGAAGGAAAAGAAGAGTGTTTACAAAAAACCCATGCAAATGCCAGGTGAGCTGTCCGTGACACATTGCAGTATAGACGATCTCTACTTTGTGTTTTTTATTCCTCCAGGAAGACATTGTCTTCTAGTCCTTTCGGGCACCTGTGAACAACCTCGAGCAGGATCACCTGACCCTCACCACACTTCGGTTTGGGCAACAGGTCCCGTTTCTGCAGAACAGACAGAGTGAAGAAGTCGCTTCCTTTTGGGGCTTTTGCAGTATGTGAAGGGTCTCTGCCATACAGAACCAGCACTCTAACAGACATGATATTAAGAATATATATGCCTGTCTATGCATATAAACTGAAAAATAAACTAAGTCCTTGTGGTTGCAAGTAAGAGAGGTGTTGAAGTTACTTGTCTTTCCAAAGATTTTGTATTTATTTTCCATGAAGAAAAGTGTACATCAACTGGGCCCCAGGGTTTCATCAGATATATTTATTATTATCAGTGCTGTCAAGAATGCCTTCTTGTTAACAGAGCTTCTCGCACTGCCTTATTAATAATGCAGTTTTGAGGACCAAGGTAGAATTAATAAGTCCACTGAGGTGTCTGATTCTCACTGCAGAGTGAATGAAAATCTGTAGCCTCTAGGATTTCATTAATCCACATTTCCCTGCAGTGCTGTCTTCTCAGTAAACAGAGAGGTGTATTAAAAAAAAAACACTGTGATTAAAATTAAATTCTGTTTGGAGGTTTTGTCACAGATTGCAGAATTAAAAGGTGTTAAGAAGAAGTATTCAAAACAATTGAATTATAATTCTGTACGAAACTTTTGCCCTAAGGTAAACAATAATTATTGAATTCATGTAAAAATAATGTTATGCCTGTTTGCAAAAGTTAGTTTATTTTGATCCATAAGACTCTACAAACTTTGAGCTGTTTTGAGAAAGTTATGTTTAGAAAAAGCCCCCTACAAGCTACATAAAAGTAATTAGTGACAGTATACTAGCATCTTACTTTGATAAATGCTACTAATTACTTGCAATTAAGTGCTTCTGAAGGTCCCTTTTTTCATAAACATAACTACCTGTTTTTTATTATTAATATTCATATTGCCTGATTACATTAAGTATTATTATTATTATTATTATTATTATTATTATTATTATTATTATTATTATTATTATTATTATTACATTTTAAGCAGCAATTCTTATTGTTAAGCTATTAGTCAGAGTACCTGAGGAGGGATTTAGTCATTCAAGCAGACCTACAAGTGTAAGTTTATTATAGAACATGTCCAATGAGGCTATACTAATTAATGTCCCTTTGTTTTAGTCCACATTAAGAAAATGATATAATGACTTTAATTATATATATATGTCATCATATTTAATAACTCTAAATATGTACCTTGATTTTTCTTTGTTTTTTGTTTTAAAGCATGTTCTGATTCATGCAGGATTTCACAGTTGTCCTTTCTCACCTGTGTTTAAAGCAGTGTTTTCTCATAGTGCACCTAGTGACCCAGTTCCTCATGATAAAAGCATCCACTATTGGAGTTTGTAGCCCTGATTTGTCAGCTCTTTTTCTGTATAATAACTGTAATCTTTAGCAGTACAATGTGAGCAAAAATGTTGTTCTTTGGCCTCTCTGCTCGCAGACCTCAATGATGTCTTTACTGCTGTAGGTTCCATCCGGGAGGAGAATGGTATCCGGTGGCATGTGTGTCCCTACTGCTCCAAGGAGTTCAAGAAGCCCAGCGACTTGGTCCGCCACATCCGCATTCACACGCACGAGAAGCCCTTCAAGTGCAAGCAGTGCTTCCGCGCCTTCGCCGTGAAGAGCACGCTCACCGCGCACATGAAGACGCACACTGGCATCAAGGCCTTCAAGTGCCAGTACTGCATGAAGTGCTTCTCAACCTCCGGCAGCATGAAGGTGCACCTGCGACTGCACACAGGTAAGAGAGCAACCCCACCCTTTCTTAATCAGCTCAGCCTGGCTGCTCTGCTATAGCGTGAAGATACTCTGTATTCGGTGAGAGGAATGTCCTCTGTCTCACTGGCTCAGTCTAGGTGCTCTGCTATAGCGTGAAGATACTCTGTA